AGTATATGATTTGCATTTCACTTTAAAGCTTCTATTATGCAGACACGATTCTAGAATTGAGTGGACATTTGCAGGTAATGAACAGCGTATCTCATATATGAGTCCATTATGCCATACTTTATCAAATGCTTGTTTAACATCGAGGAATACCGCGGAACAATATTCTCCGAGCTCAAAGAATCAATTAAAGAATTGGCTTACTGATATCAATTTTTAGTTATTTTAGCACTGGAACTAATGTAGAATCCATCTTGAGTAAATAACGAAAGAATGTTGCAATAACAAGTTAATCAAAACAGCTGTTCGTGATATACAATAGTCTCCAGACAACTGTATATAGCCGTAAACAATTGCAATACAAATGAGCTTGCGAATCTCCTACTAAACTAAATATGACATATCTTACGACATGCTATACCATATCCATTCTACGTCGTACATTTGTCGATGCACACACCTTGTTTCATCGTCGTACGTTTATAACGAAAGGGTTTTGAAAATTTTCAATCAGTTTTCGTCAATTTTTGGTTAATACAACGAATCGGATTGCACTTAACCACAATCCCACAAACCTCCTGTTACCAACACTTTTCTAAATATAATTATGAAAATATTTAATTTATTATCGTGTTTAATTATTCTCATTTAAGGACTGTGTGAATAATGTTGCAGTGTGACAAAAATGTCAGATAGTCAGATTTTCATTTTCTAAGTCATAATTTGTCACTCTCTTTAAAAAATGAATTTATAAGATCTGAATAATAATCAAGTTTTCATCGATATTTCTTGAAACTGTTTGTATTTTGAACTAGTAAAATTGAACGAAAACTAGTTCATTTAAAAATTTTTTCTTTTAGTTAAGATCAAAATTTAAGTTAAAAATATTTGGAAAAAATGTGAAAAATTCAAGTCTTTGTAAAATTTTCAATACGTTTCGCACAAAATATTGGAGTCAAAATTCATATAAAAGTCATACGTTAAGTGGATTTTTATGGAAGGAACGTAAGGGTTTCCATTCTTAAATTTGGCTGCTGTACTGAAGTACAAACATTTTTCATATAAGGTAAGTTGTTGAAGTTAATCATTCATTCTAGAGATCTTTTCTATTCTGAATGGTTTTAGTAAGGATTACTTGAAATAGCTTCAGTGATGGAGAAAATAGCGAATAAAGAAATAATAACGCGTCAAACAAAGCAAAAAAAATAAAAATGAGAAAATCAATTAAATTCTTAGAAATATAATGAGCAGAGTCTGTGTCGATGTCGATGTAAGTTCCTTGATTTATTTTATTTGTCATATTTTGAAACTTCCATTTCACCGTTTTTAAAATAAAAGTTTTTCGTAGATAACCTCACTGCTGATTTTGCATGATTGTTGGGAATATAAATAAACTATTTTATTAAAATTTTTTATTTTATAAGATTATATAAAATTATAATACAGAAAAGGAAAGAGGAATATATATAAAATATATGTAAGTAGTTACAATATAAAAATAGTGAAACTGAAATATTTTACTGTAATTTACTTGGAAAGATAAATTGAAACAATCATAAATAAATGAAAATGACTACGACTATCCCAATAGCAAATATTCTACTACGACTATAACACATCGACATCCACATCCACATCCACATCCACTTTATACAGATTATGTATTCTGATGAATCGGAACCCATATTATTAAAGACAAATTCACTCAAAACCACTAAATATTACACATTCCTCACATCCACGAGTATGAAAATCATCATCAAATAAAACTCTCGTCTTCATTTTATGTCTGGATAGTATCCGGATTTGATCAACTGTCACAAAATTTCACAGAAATTACTCGCAACTCTCAAAAACACACATGTACAACTATTTTAATATTTAATTCTCTTAATGAGTCAACACATGAATTTTAAATAATTATTTATTTTTATTTATCAGTCAATGCGCATGAAGAGGCGGGATCACGTTGATAAAAATATATCTAAAAGTAAACTTGTAAACCTCACCAATTCAACATTATTTTTTAAAGAAAATTGGATAATCACTAATTTGAGAAACTAAAATCGAAAATCGAAAATCGAAAATCGAAATATATTGCAAATATACACTGAGAGATATTATTGTGTTTATTAAACTTTATTTAACTCTACTCTATTGGATAAATGGATGGTGTCCCTCCACCCCTCTACCCCTGCACCCCTCCACCCCACCACTGCATTTCGGGATACATATATAAAAGAAACTTAATACAATAATATGGGTAACTAATCAAAAATAATTTACTCTCATATTTCAACATTAAACTCTATTATTTTATATATATACTATAGATGCAGCTGTATTTTTTACTATACGGCAAAGTAAGTTCTGCAAAAATTAATTGGATGCTACAAATACTGAAAAGACAACGGTCCGTCAAATTTCTATACTTAACATATAAATTATTGGTATGATGTGTTTCAAGAGAATTTGGAATTTACACTGAGTGTTGTGTGAGATTTATGTTAAATGAAAAATGTAAAATGTTAATGTTAAATGTAAATGTTAAATAAGATTCACAAGTAAATCTTAATGAACGAAACGGGAGCATTGAATCCTGAAACCCCAAGAAATCAGAAATCGTACAATCCTGTAATAATGGACTAATATTACTAACTAGTACAACTGCAAATTATAATATAAAATAAAATATACCTTATATAATAAATACTTTCGCAATTCACAACGGAAAGGATTTATATAATACCATTTCATTTTGAATTTGAAATATTCAAACATCATCAGTTTGAGTACTGTTTCAATTAATAAGTTTATATAATATTTGTTAGAATTAATTGTTGGTAAATATCAAAACTTTCATGTCGTGAACATTTTATAAACTTATTTGTCTTATTTAATAGCTTTTGAACTTTTAACCATAACCATTATGGTAATTCAATCAACCATCATGTATCAATTTTGGGTGTGTGAGCCATAAAATAGTACTTCCTGTGAGTGTGGAAACGATAATATGTGGATGTGTATCTGATATAAATGGTGTTGTCCTTGTTCAATAAGAAGCCTGATAATTATACATACAAATTACATGAATGAAGGTACGATTTGAATTTATTATTCAATATAAGTTTTAAAAATACAACTTTAGATTAGCAGATCTATTTGGACATTTGGACAGCTTAAAGATGACGATGCGAAATGACAAATATCTGACCAAATCTAAATGAATGTTTTGGAACAAATGTGACTAGTGATTACAACTGGTATAAAACTGTGCTTGTATGATGCGGCATCGATTTTTTGACTAGGTGGACAAGTATTATACACCTGGAATTTCGCAGACATTCCTATATTTTTGCAAATATAGTGTACATCATTCGGTATCACTAATACTTAAGTTCATTATATACTTATTTTCGATTGAATTACTTTATTTTTTTAGTGAAAATTGAAGGATTAAACAAATCTAATTAAGTATACATTTTTATACAGAGGTGTTAAACCAATTCAAGACCTTGGAGTATGTTTAAATTCGGTGGAATCGAAAGTGTAAACATACATATTCCTAAACATGTCGAAAAACGTGTGTAGCCATAAACTGATGCCATAGTCATAGCTGATGGCATCAATGTAAAAATATTAACAGAATGCAAAAAATACACATTATGCTTGAAAACTAAACCAGTTTTACATCAATTTTTTTTACAGTTCATAATAGTCTTGTGTTTCTGAAGTTCCATCATCTAACTTTCTAGTTAATATGAGTACTGAAATATAAAAATTAGTAAAAATCAGGAAAATGGGTGTAACTACCACATTGGTTATTATTAGATATTCACTTTGAAATTGGGTGTACTAATACGCCATTGGTTTGGTCGCACTGGGGAAAATGCTCGGCGATTCTATTATCTATGTCGGCTTTAGGTGTGACGCTTTTGTTACTCCAGTAGACTTTAAATGAAAAAAAACTTATTTCAAATTTACAATAAATTTTACTATTAAATTTATATTATAAACGAAAGTTAGTTCTGTAAGTATTGGTTTGAATATATACTTAGATTCTTCCATAATTTGACAGTCATAGCCAAAGGAGGACTTCTTGAAGTCTGTGATTTACGCAGACTTATTTATAATTAATTTTGGCTATTTTAAGTTAAAATTAATACATAGATTATTGAATGTAATTTCGTCGGATGGTGTCCAAAAAATATTATTTCTATAAAAACACCAAAAGTAAATAATCAAAATAATATTTAATATTAGCATATTCCGTATACTGTGAAATACATCCCTGATAAATAATATTCTGAAGACAATCTTTGTAAAGGTGTGGCGTATTTCCCTATTTACAAACACCAAATTAAATTTTCGTCTGTGATACATACTTTATTTGTGCTCCACTGGATATTCACCTGCTTAAGTTGCCTTTGAGTCTTTATTTTACTAAAGCTTAAGCTCTTTAAACAATAAGACAACATTTACCCACAAATAATCCAAAGTAAAGAATAATAGGGAACGGAAGTTCCTTTTTTCCAAACGTAACGAAACGAAACTTTTCATTTTAAATTTCTGTTGAAATTTCTATTTACAAACCATTTTTTGTGTGGCCATGGAAGGATTAAAAATATTTTACAACTAGAAATATCAAATTTGAACAATATCAAAACCACAGTCACTGTGCCCTACGGTAAAGCACTACGACGACATTTTTTAATGTATCCTTGCATGCTTTATTTGGGCAAGGATATACTCTATGTGTGCTGCTGTATTGCTCTACCTATGGCCGTAGTTAAATAGACGAGAGTGCACCCAAATATAGAAAGCAACTCGTAGTGTGTGTGACATTGTTTAGTGACGTTAAGTGTATCTCGTACGTGCGTTAAATACTTTTATTGTTTGAAACTTCATTTATAGAAACACGAATGCGATTATATGCGAATTTATGTGCAGTTGAGTGTGTGCTTTCAACTAACAGCAGTAATGGTGTCACATGTGTGCCAAAGGATATTTATCATTTTTTACAATTTCATTTCATTTGATTTTTTTTCTCCTCTTCATTTTCAACTTCATTTTCTACATTTTATTCCTTTGTTTCCGCTTTCTCTAACTGTACTTTCCTTGTTTGCTTTGCTTACCGCACAGATTTCCTTTCTTTGCACAACAGCAACGACATTAAATCAACTAAAAGTTTGAAAGACAAGTTCCGAACTTGTGATGTGAAGACAAAGCCATACTAAAAATGTTGGTATTGACTTAATGTGCTAGTAACTATTTTTTTGTTAAATGATTTGTAAAGAAAGTTACTGAGATAGAAAACAAAATTCAATGCACTAACAAACACACATGAGTACAAACTCCAAGGAGGTGGAATATCTTAATTGTGTTGCAACAAACTTATATAAGCGAGAAGTTATGAACTTATAGATATCTACCTTTAAATTGCTCAATCATTGTTTTTTTTTTGTTGAGAAGGTGGCATGCTTTATGCACCATCAAACCGATCGTCGTTGGAATGGTGTGCTCGACTCCCCAACATTAATATGTAGTATCCGGACTAAAACATCCTATCTCCAGCAAGACTTATTCCTTCTCGGGATCGCTTTCGCATTACTTCGAGGAGGGTCTCGTTTATGTTGGCATTTCAAGCCACGCTCTTGTGATTTTCGATCTGCGTGCAGTATTCCTTTATCTCCTTTCTAGGTCCTTTCTAGGACTCTATTGTTCGCCAACTCTCTGGGTTCTCTGTCATCTTTTCCACTATATTTTTGGGATTTATAGGTCTAATCTGCGTTGTTATATCTTCTCTATTTGTGAGCCAACTAATATAGTAAAAGAAGGTGTGCTCTGCATCGTCACAGTCTCTATCGCCATAAATGCCGTCAGGTGAATCCATCTTTCTCATGCGACACAGGTACTTACAAAAGTATCCATAACTGGTTAGCATCTGAGTGAGATAGTAATTTACATCTCCCGATTACCGTTTGGGCCAAGTGATTATATTTGGTAACAATCTACCTAACCATCTTCCTTGAGTACTATTGTTGTTGCCACATTGCGATGGTTTGCTCCTGATGATTGAGCAATGGCAAGTTCAATCATAGTTTACTATAATTTAAATAGAGAGATAAAATGTTGATATTCGTTGTTTGATATTCGAAATTGAGGATTGATGATTTTATCTGAAGTTCTGAAGACAAAAGCTATCTGTTTTACCTATGCTATATAACATCAAGTTTATGGAACTGTTGATACTGGCCAAGCTTTATATTATGCGTATAAATGTTAACACTTTATTTTTGAGTGAAACCTTCTGAACATGACTATATCGAGTCTCACAGTTTATGGTAAAGTGGTGTTCACAACGACAATATGCATTGAAATTAACTCTTGAAACAAGACTCAAACGGTTTATCAATATTTCTGGTGGAGTATGGATTATAGCATCAGCAAAGACATAAAACATGTATACATAATAAGAAATTTTACAAAACTATGAATTGCTTAGCTAGTTCTCAATATTGTCTTCAATCATTCAACCGTTCAATCGTTCATATTTTGTTAATATTAAAGAAAAATGGAAAAGGATACTAAAATAAAATAAAAACATTCTTATAATTTACTGAAACAATAAAGTCAACTGTTTAGAAATGAAAATCTCAATGCTAAGAATAGGAAACAGATATATAACCAAATAATTCGTCCGTCACTTCTATATGGTTGTGTAGCCTTTAGCCAAGCTTCAAACACTACTATTCACCAGCTAGAAATTGCACAAAGCCAGGCTTTACGAAGACTTTTCAAAGTTACATGGTACATTAGGACGAACGACATCTTCAGGGACATCAAGATTGATCCAATCAAAAAATGCATATATGATAGAGTCCTGAAATTATTTGCGAAATCTGACAGACTTACCAGCACCGCGTTATCAAATCTCAGAATGGTTACAGGCTCCTCGGGGAGGTATGCAGATCTGAGGTCAACTATTTCTTAGACTGATGAAGTGATAAACAATAATCTAGTCAAGGCGCAAAGAGGGGTTTTCAAGAAACCTCACAGTCAATAGAGAGTGAAAGTGCTCAGGTGCACTGACTCAACTAGCCACAACATAATAAAGTCATAATGTCCTACAATGGATTCAAGTTAGCTTCTTTAATCGACAATTATAGTCAGTGCTCAACTTAGTTTTTATATATACAGTACGCACTGTAACATTAGCACCAAAAACAATGGAGGAAAGAAAAGAAACAATTCAAATGCTGATTAATATTCCTCATAATTTATTGTATTTCAGAAAAGCAAATTGGATTACAATAAAATGCCAGCTAATAGCACTAAATAAACGAAAATAGGAAAGAAAATAAAATAATTTCAATTCAACTTTTCATATATTACTAGACAACCCGGTAAACGTTGTTTTGCCGTATAAATTATTTCTAGTGATTATTTTTTTTTAAATAATTGATGACAAATGTATGGTAGGTATGTAGGGATGGAAAGAGGAAGAGCAATAGAAGGAGGAATTGAGCGCTGTAGATGATGATTGCCGATAAAAAGAAAAAAAACACCAATCACTCGTTAATTCAATATGTTTCATTAGAATAACGGACATATTCATTGTTTGATCTCTTAAAAGTTAAATTTAAATTTAGAAAGTAATATGTTTTATCCTAAACCATGAAAATTAAAAATAAAGTACGATATTTTTTGACAGTCTGTCTTTAGCCAACACAAATAGGTTTGACGGTTTGGCAATGCGAGAACATGCCACGTATAGTTGTCCGTGTGAAAAACACGGTGTTTCCTAATTTGAAATAGATTTCATTTAGCTCTTTGTTACGTGTTATTTTTTCCTTCTTCATATAGTAGATGAAGCATACACCCTTTATCTGCTATCGCTCACTTATTATAAGCCAAACACTGGCGAAGTAATGGGTCCAAAATATGAGAGAGTATGAAGGCGTAGGAGTTTTTTCACACACGTAAATATAATACGGAATAAAAAGTCTATACTTTTCTTTCGATCTCTACATCTCTACAATTGAGTGTTCGACGAAAATATGAATAAAAATATTATGCAGTTTTTTATATGAATGGGGGAACACTCAATTTATGAACAGTTAGATGGTCCCATATTTTGGTCGCCAGTCATGTAAAATGTTTATATGTGGAAAGCTAATCCGATTTGGGTATAAGTTGTGGTGGTTTTGTTCGCGAACTGGTTATCCTCCGGAACAACGGATAACTACGATAAGAAACTTGATCTAAGAGCCGAAGTTTTATTTCGATTAATAGAAAACGTTCAGTTTTCACAATTAATAAGTTGAAAGTAAAATCATAAGCAAGCACAAGATAATATCTAGAAAGGTATAATAATGTTTCTCAAATGAAACTATGGTATTATAACCATAACGCAGACTACGTTAAAATACGAAATAAAATAAACTAAAATACTCCTAACACTTTCCCCAACTCATATTGACCCATAAATTTAAATAACTTTTGTCTGGTATTCTGTTAGTGGATGACTAGCGGTGCGTATCCGCTCCTTACATTTCCCCATTCTCATTTTAAAATAGAAAATCATTAACAATTAATATAAGTCATATTACTTCAAATTCTAATTTATTCGCTGAAAGCATTTATAAAGAAATATGTGTATATATAAGCAAAATGCTCCA